TTCATTTTTCCCTAAAGTACTCAGCTCTGTAGTTGACCCTTGAGGGGGTGGCTTTGGTGGGGGGGCCTCTCACCTCTCGAAATGCCAGGTAGCTTCATCTGAGGAAAATGGGACATTGATTTAGGTTGACACAATTTTGGTCGTGTCGAAAGGGGGAATTGTTAGGTATTTTATAGTCAGATAGAAATTGGATAGATACTTTATGTATTAGAAATGTTTAGAGTAGACAGGATGTCTAGCTCAGGCTGTTAAATGCTTAGTCATTCCCATGGGGTACTCCAAGTTGTTTATGTTCAAGGATAACTAGATAGAAAGTTGATTACTGTTAGGAGACAGAATGTTTATTATTATTATTATGATGTGTTTAATCATAATCGTAATCATAATATTTTCTTATGCTTAATGTCATGACATGTCACTAGATGTCATGTCAGAATGTTTTAGCTACACACCACATAATCAACAGACAATCACACATTGATTTTCTTTATGCTTTGACTACTGCTATGGCCAGCTGCACAGCTGGCACCGGAGACGTCATGGTTTGGTGTCTCTCTGAGTAGTATGGGGTTAGCCCAAAGTGATATAATGTACAGGCCAGTCATGGTTCGGGGCTTTTCATCTACCAGCTGCCTGCGTGCATGTTGGAGGTGCAAGACTCTTGAGTGTGTAATGTTAATTTTTACCTGTGATCATTGAATAAATCAGCACTGTTTTGAAGTTACTCAGACTGCTTCGTCTCTCAGAGTTAACGTGGTGAAAAGAACCGGGGGTCAACAGTTTATGTACAAGGGCTGCAGCTGGGTAGAGTGTGCGGGAGGCGGGACATTACGCAGTCATGTAGCCAGTTTGTAATGTGGTCAGGGCTCTCACCTTGTCTGATGATTCTGATGCCCTTAATGACAAAAGTTTCTAAATCACATCGTGTTTCCAGTTGAATATTTTTGTTGATGTCTTCATTGTAAATGACCGTAATTTCTTCACCGTCGGATGTTTATTTTCTTCCAGTTTCACACCAGTCACATGATAGAGCATCATCAACACGCCCACTAACTCAGCATGAATGCTCCAGACTGTACACTGCTGTATTCACACATGTACTCACTCGGACATCACACAGACTTTGTACTAAGGAGCTGGCAGGGTAAAGTCTGCTTAAAGTCCGTGTCAGCTGACTCGGACATTTGCATTCTCACATACAGCTCTCCCCTGGTAATGTCTGGAGAATTTCAGGGTTCCAGTGCATGTCTGAAAAGGGCTTAAGATGTGCCTGATGATTCTGGAGCTCGGGATCTAAGTATCTGTTAAAAATACAGTCTACTGTGTTGACATGATAATTGAAAATGTCCTTGAAAGCAGGTGTAGTGATGGATGAGCTGGGCTGCCCCACCAGCCAATATGATGCAAGTAGAGCCAGATGCTTAGATCCTGCCCTCTCAAGTAACCCAGTGCTTTTTCCATTTTCTACTGAACATTCTCAAAAATGATTCCAACATTGATCTGTCTGATAAAAACAAACATTTTTAATTTGTCATGTTGGATCATCGATTTGTTTAAATATGGATTTTCTTTTTCTGTTCTGTTTATGAACTTCCTGTAGCTGGAAACAGGAATGTATTGTGTTGTGCAAGTAGCTGCTTATCATCACCATACACAGCTTATAAAATAATGTAGAGTGTGAAGCATGACAGAGCTGGACAAACAGGACAGAATGCCTTCTACAGCAATACCACACACATCAACCACTACTGCTCATCTTACTGTGTTAGTATTGTTACTCCTTCTGGACACATCATCAGCCAACTGCACTGATTAGCCCACTTTCAAGCAGGGATAAATTCCTCTGAACAGACACAATATTCCCACTATTGTTATCACACAATATGGATATATATATATATTTTTTTTACAAACTTACAGTAGCCAACAAATACTGTATTTTCTCAGGTAGGTTTTCTTGTGTTAAAATAATTTCCAGTTAATATATGCGCTATCATATAATACAGGCTGTTTATTTCATAACTTTATTTATTTGTAATCACTGAAATAAAATCAATGAATAAATGGGATTAATGCACTTCTTAAAAAGCATCCCTGCTGTTAAGGGGCGGTTGCGGCAGCAGCAGCACTGTCCTCTGCTGCCACTGTGCCCTGGCACCACGTTTTCATCACAAGCAAGATGGTAGCTTACACGTGCGCACAGAGGCCTGGCGTACATAATTCAATACAGCATGGCCTTTATGAGCTCCACGGCTGAGAGCTTCCTTCTTGCTTCCTCTGACAAAACAGATAACAGCAGAGCCTCAGAATCACTGGGTCATTCAGATGATTCTCATTAGATATTGCACTTATTTGAATTAACGACTATTATTCCAATAGAGGTGGAACATCTATTAATTTCTATTTATTTTATATACACATAGAAAATGTTTGGCACATTTCTTTTTAAAGTATATTTATATATATATATATTTTGTCTGAACATTTTTATAACTCTGTGACTTAGTTACTACTATACTGTACAGTGGTAAAATGAAACCCAAAAGGCAATCTTGGCACTTCTTCACACTGGTCAGGAAACTCTGTGCTCCAAGATAAAGCAAGATCCATGCAGGACAAAGTCCTGACGTCCTCTACCCATGTCTCTGCTGTGACTGTGGATGTCATCACCGCTCATGTTTGGGTACAATGTCTCCTCTGTCCACCACCGCCACACCAGGCCCGCTCAGCTCCTTAGGAGTTACATCTACATAAAACTCAGCCACCACAGGGCAGTGTTCTGATGCCACACCACCCCAAGACCAGTTATCTGGGATCCAGGGGTTAGTCAGACCCTCCCTCACTACCACACAATGGCCTGTCAGAGGAAAAGGAACAAAGAGATGGAAAGTCAACAGAAGCATGGGACTGGATGCCATGCTAACACAGACACAAAGTAGGTACACTCCAAAGTGAAGTCTGACCTGACAAAAACATTTCTAATTTCAATCATGAGCTTCACCGCTGTTCAAATACACCCACCAGAATACATCTTCTTCAGGGAGCGGCTGAGCCAAATGTTATCCAGGCAGTGGGTACCCTGCGGTGACCGGGTGCTGATGTTAGTGAACTGGGTGGATGGTATGAGAGCAAAGAGCTTCTCTTTTCTCAGTACATCTAGTTCGGAGCTCTGCGGAGGGGAGCCAAAATTTCCCAACACCACCAGCTCCTTCTCGCCTGCAGAGAAAGATGTGGATTAAGTAGATGAAAATAGGATGAAATTTCCATGATCTAGCTTCATGTAGAGACGGGGCATGCACGGGACAATCCGATGACGATCTAAGATCACTTAAGCTTTGAAAATTCTATGAGTATCTGATACATCTTGGCTTGACTGACCTTTGAGTGTTTCCTGGATACTGGGGAAGAGGGTGTGGGAGTTGTGGTTCCTCTTGTTGGACTCTCCTGGTGAGGCTGTGGCCTGGATATGCACATTCACCACCGTCAACTTGAATGAACCAACCTAATGGAAGACATGAATTTGTAATTCTGGTCAGAATTATTATAACCTAATAGGCAACCAAATAAAATATGACAAAAACCAGTGACAAACACACATATGAGCTATGCAGCTAACTGTGTGTTAGGTATGTTCATCTAAGTGCTTAAAAAAAGGGATTTATTATTTTTACCTTAGGTTTTAATGACACTGTTTGTAGTTTTGATGACAAACTTACAATTGCTAGAGTGAGATAAACTTGGTATTTCTTCGAGTATAAATGAAACATCTCTACCAAAAATGTTTTGGAACTTTAGGCAAAACCAGAAATGGTGACTCAATATGCCCCCAACAGACTTACTTTCACAGAACAGCGTGTGGTCATGTGAATGCACATTTGTTTAAGAAAAGATCATTTGTTTTTGTAGAGGTTACATCTGAATATTAAATAGCTTTTCTATAGCCATGGTTGAAGGCATGTTTTGGGGTTGTCTGTCCATTCTTGTGAACATGATATTTTCAGGAGCATTGAATTAGACTTGTATTTTGGCTGCTGTCTTGCTTCTTTTCAACCAGATTCTGAATAGCAGCAACAGTTGAGGACGTATCAGACCACCAAGTAAAGCTGTCAAATCAAGTGAAATACACTCCTTTTTATATCACCAAAAAACTTACTAAAAACACACTTACCAGAATAAAAATGACTTGTACACACATCAGTGTCATAATATCTATCAAAAACATCAAAAATGACCTCTGGGAAATTTTGATTTTGAATTTTTAGTGTGGCTCATGTCCACTAACATGGAGGAGGGGGGATTTATGAACTATACTACAAACAGCCACCAGGGGGCGGTGGAGTCATGGCGGCTTCACTTCTGGGAGCTGTTATAGATGTTAGACTCAGGAATGAGTTTTCCCAATGTTCCTCTGAAGCCAGTTATTCACTCACACTCTGCCGCTGTGCCTTAACCACCAGCATACCAGGGATCAGTCTAAACATCTTTATTCTTTATGTTAGTCCAAACATGGACAAATTCACATTAATTTAACTGAACTACTCATTGTCTTTGTTTACCTTTTAAAAAAAAAACATAACTTAGTATCGGTTACTTCTCAATTACATAGTCATTGTTTGTTAAACTACACATTATTGTATGCCTACAGATTTTCTCTGTTGTTTCATTTTATTTTGACCTGTAATTACTTTGCCAATGTAGAATTATTATATAATTCATGTCATTTGCTCATGGTGCATGTTGTGTTTTTATGAGAGGCCTCTGTACAAGCCTTTATCCCTACCTGTCCTTCATAGCATTTTTTATGGCATAGTATGTACTGTATATGTGCAATGAATGTTTTAAGAGAAAACATGTTAAGGAAAAGAACTATAAATGAACTTGGTTAATATTGTTTGTAGGAGCAAGTGGTGTATTCAGATCAGACTCATAAATGAGTGGCGTTCAGGCAAGAAGTCAATAAGCATAGCATTGTGGGAAACTGAGTTCTATCTTTAAATTCCAGATTGGTTTGATTACACTGACAGGACACTGTCTGTGTTTTCATCAAAAACTCATTGTTTGTTTTTAGAATAATTCATTACTTACAAAAAAGTGAGCCAGATAGAGTGTAGGGTTGGCACGATTCCCATTGCCATTGACAACAGGAGACTCCATGACTGCAGCATCCTTCAGGTCAATACCAGACGAGCTGTCCCACAGGAAGCCAGAGTAGCTCACTCCCTGGGAAAACAGGACCATGGGAAATGCAGTCAGATACTTTAAGCTGATCTTGAAGAGTTCCTTAATGTTCACAACATTATTACTAATGGACAGCGTATTACTAGTTATTAATATATGCAGTTCTTTGTATCATATAGTCCATTTTAAGGCTATCAATATAAACTCTAGGAATCTAAATGGATTCTTTTGTACAGTTCTACTGTACAATATGAGCCTCAACACCACACTGTCCATACAGAGAGATGTATCATAGGTGAAAAGTCAGCGAATAAAGCTTAGTCACAGTTATCAAATTTAATAAAAAGGCAGTTTGGAAACTCAAAGTTAAGAAGAACCTTTAATGATCTCTGTAGCAGTGAATATTTACAATGCAAAGATATTACACATTCCATTATAACATATTTATATTGTACTGTATATATTGACAACTCAAGAGCACTATGTAGAGAGATTTGGAGATTCTGACAAGACACAAAGGTGCTTGTAAAATGTTTCATGATTAAAATCTTTTGTAGGTTATGTATTCAGTTGAGCTGTATTACTTGTAAATAATTTATTCAAATTTAGTTTTACCTTCAAAGCTTTTCATGCACTGCCAAGGAAGTCATTTCCAGTGGAAAATGTTAATTCAGAGCCTCTATAGTTCTAGTATTTTGAATTCTATAGTACATGAGGTAGTATCAGTAGCAGCTGGTTCAAGTAAAGTATATGGGTTTGTGCAGATTTGTGGTACTTTCTAGCCTACATTTGTAGCCTACAGCTAGCAGTTATCAACATACTGTAGAGAATCTGGGAAGGTAGCGTCGCCCTAGGGTGCAGTATATGGTTGTTTCCTGGAGGCAGGATCCTCCAGAAAGACCTTGATTTATATCAAACTTGCAAAAAATGGGAAATGTGTTTGTTTGTTTCTCATTTAATCTTTTTTGGCCAATATTAATGACTTTTTTTAAAAATTTCAAATAAGGTAGTTTAGTTTTCCAAGAGAAAAAAAAAAAAAAATCAGAAAACCATGGTAAACATCTAGCCTGTCTTTGTCCAGAGCTAACCAGCTACTGCCCACTAGCATGTCTGAATGATTTATCTACTAGCTGGTGTCTGCTGCTCTGTGCTGAGTGTCTTCCTGATGTCAGAGCAGATGCTGTAATGAGAAGAGCTGAATAAATCCACTAGGCTTAGCTTTAATGAAGCAGCTGATACCACTGAAACCCAAACACCGCGATTGATTTAAGAAATGAACCTGCTGCGTGGGCTGATCTGTAACATTTGGAGGGTTTGAGTGATTAGGGTACTTGAGGGCTCATAATACCAATAATTCTAAAATGAAGTTGCATCAGTAGCCAGATGTAAATACACCAGCACTCCAGATGTTTTGTGGCCAGTTGCATTCAGTGGAAATTTATTCTTTATACAATGCAATTAAAAAGAGAGATCAGTGCTGTTAAAGTTGGCTGCCATACCTTGCTGGAGCATGCGGTGGGTTTTTCAGACACAACACTTTTCCACAGACCTCGTGGCCATTTCCACTTCCGTACACTGGCCAGTGTTCCTTGGTTTAATTCCACACAAAACTGCAACACAACACAGAGCGAGAGGACGTCATCAGCACTGAACTAATATGCGTAGAGACCAGATCTGTTGTTAGTTACACTTCTTTATTTGGATATGACCTAAATTTTGACTCTAGTCTTAGTTCTGCAAAACCTTAGAGGAAGTGAGTGAGACTGGTGGAAAAAAAAAATCACTTGCAATTCAGCAAAATCTTTAGGTTAATTACTGAAATTGTAGCAAGCAGCTAAAATTGCAAAAGGCTACTAACTATGAAGCACTAAATCAATCAGTTTAAACCTTTGAAAAATGTCTAGACATCCAAAATTAGGCTAGCCATGCTAACAGGTTTAGAAAGCTGAAGTCCATTTAATTATTTTCTGTAATTAGGTTATGACAGAAAAAAAGCAAGTGAGGCCAAAATACAAAACTGTTCATTATACAAGGCCAATGCCTTGCCAGTGCCAAGAACACTGAGTTAATGGTTATGAGAGCCAGAGCATGGTAAACACAGGGTAAACAAAGGCTTGAATGCATAAGAGGGCACAGTATTACCTTAGAAAATATTTGCTTTACTTTATATGATGATGAAATGCGTGACTTATCTCTTCTTCTGATACATTTCTAATCTGTCTGCCTTGCATGACAAAGTGTAGTTCAAAAGGAGTGTTGTTCTCTATTTTAACACTTGAGGGCAGAGTAACTGGTTGTCAGCAAAAACATGCTTCGCTCGGCAGCCGCTGGCAAACAATGCAGAGTTCAGTGAACTCAAGTAGCCTCATCTCTTCTCACAAGGAAATACAGCAAGAAAGGAAGCCTATATGTCAACATCACAAAGAGAAGGGGTGGGGAATTCAAAGAACATGCTGATGAAGGCTCAGGTTGCTGTTCATGGCCACCACTGGATCTAAATTTAAGCTGAGAGGCTGCCTGTGGGACACCGGGGTCAGTGGAACCCCACCTATGTGCACTGACACGTACACACTCATGGCCTATTCATGTACATGGGGCCTACTAAGCCAATACCTATATCTTATAGACCGTATATATGCAACTGGGGCCCACTGCCGATAAGACTAATGTGTGCACAGGAACTACATGTGCTTATTATTAAACAATTACTACTGTTGACATTTTATCACACAGTATCCCTAAGGGGTATCAAACAAAACACAAAGTTGTTCCACAAGTTCAACAGCCAGGTTAACCAGGTTAACTAGCCAGGCTAGTTTTTGGGACACTGCATCAGAACCACTGTAGCCTGTTAACATGCAGCGATAGTCAGTCCACCCGTTCGTGCTGGGTGAGACTAAAACCAAACATACACTTCGTGCTGAAGCTAACAGGCAGACTGTAAACACTGTAGGACTCGCTGTCATGGGACAGAGAACAACTCAGATTTCAGTGGAAAGATATGACATCTTAATGGAAAGTAGTGACCTGTCAAATGAAAGAGCACAAAGTCAGTAGTTAATCAAGGGAGTTTAAGGCTATTTTTGTAGATGCAACTATGAAATAGTCTGATCAAAACCAACTATATGTCTAAAAGTTCACTTTGTTTTCATTCCAAACGAATCCCACATCAGTTACAAAGCTCTTTCGTGGCAGCAGTAGAAAGACAGAGATCTGAAGATGTCCCCCTGAGTACAGAGAGCAGGGGGTGAGAAGGAAAGGTCAAATAACTAGCTTTGGCTACGTGTTCGGGTTGACCCACTGATCAAACACCTTGGCTTCTAAATCAATAAACAAATCCATCATAAAGTGTGATAACATAAGATTACAGACACATATCACTATGGGTCTAGTGTCACTCATGAACCCACACACACACAACAGCACCACTGCTGAAAACAGCGCTAGGAAAAACACTGCAACAGTGTAGCGCCGCCCGCTATTCAAACATCAAATCCAAGCAGCTGATTTACATTACATCACCCTTGGCCTGACAATTTTCACTGTTGATACTGTGATATTACACTGGATTAATGTTAAATATCATCGGTAACAACAGGAACTGGAGATAAGATGGTTAGGGAGGAGCATCCAGTGTTACAGTTGTTTATAATGATGATGATATTATATGGAGATACTTTGACACAGTTTCAGCAATACCAGTCAACCTGGAATACGCACTGTGTAGCCTGTGTAATCTGGTACCAGACAAAGCCACAAACTCAGATCATACTGAACAGATTAGGGAAACAAATGAATCAGATTATGAGCACACAGGTCAGACACTGGGACTGGAACAGCAACCATTTGTAAAAAACTATAAAAAAGATTATTTGTTTCAATTGGAGAAACAGTTTGTGAGCACGCTATTTTATTGATGGATCTCTGGAAACTACTGAGAGTTTAAAAACATTCAGTCCTCAAATGGACTGAAACACACACACACACACACACACACACACACACACACACACACACACACACACACACATAACACTTGAGCAAAAGTTGCTCAACACTGCTATCTACCTCTAAAATATTGTTAGAAAATCTGCCTAGTCATCTCCCAGTGCTATTACAGCTCTATCAGGCTGCAGTGAAATACACACCAATACATTCAGGGTGAACTACATTCTGCGTTCACTGGTCGATCGCTGAGTAATCATAGCATTAATAATAAAGCAATTTCAAACTGCCAGAAGGTTAGAAATATACTTTCAGTTATAGTCCCTGGGATTCACTGAGCATGTAAGGCATACAAAGATGAATTTCTCTCAAAATCTTACTTAGCTCAAACATAAAACACACTCATTATTTAGCCTGTAAAGACCAAAGTGTGGCCACAGCGTGTGCCAAGGTTCTGGCAGTGAGCCCAGGTATCACCGGCAAGTATCCGGAGAGAACCCGTCCAGGAACAGGGAGAACATGCAAACTCTGCACAGAAAGGCACCGGGTCAGCCAGGGCACAAATCTAGAACCTTCTTGTTGAGGTGACAGCGCTAACCACCACACTGTGCTGTGCCACCCAACTTAGGAGTTTTCTTCACAAAATATAAGTTGTGTATTTTGACCCTAATTTTTTCCTGCGTAGTCATGGTCTGGGTGGAAACATCAGGGTCTATGTGGAGGATAGGAGAACTGACAATGACTAAGACCATCTATATATATGGGATACATTGGTATCGTATCCCTTTAACACCAACATGAAAAATCAAAAACTATTCCTTTAAGTTGCATTATAGGCAGTGTAGGACATGCTGTTTTTTTAAAACTGACAGGAAATGAAAATCAAAATATCTCAGCTTCTGCTGCATTAGTTGTCATCATTTACTTTTTGTTGTGTCTTTATGGAAACCACTGTACCTGCTCTATCTTTACCATAAATCCATCTTTAGATCACAGGACACATTCATTAACTAGTCCATCAAGCATAGAGCAACATTAGCATTCAGTTGGAGCCATGTCTTTTTTCAACCCCTTGAATAGGAGTTCACTATACACTCACTTGTAGCTCTGTTTTGGTCTCCACCAACTACTGGAAAAAATATCTGGCTTTTAGTTGATAAATGTGCTAGCTGCTAATTTTGTCCATGTGCTGTTTGGCACTGGACAGGTAGGTCGTGGGTTTATTGGAGCTCTTTCACTGCTGCCTGCTACTGGATACAAGTAATGAGAGCCCTGAAAGTGAACCGAACAGTAAAGTTGAAGGCTGTGAAAGCGTCGTTTGACACAATCATTTGAGCAATAGTCTCTAATTTTTCTTTTTGTTTTAATGACTCCATGCTCTTTCCTCACAAAATATGTTTAACACCACTACTGCTAGAGCAAATTCATCTCTTCTTTAGTACTTGAAAAGAGAACTGAACCTGTTGAGGGTGGTTTCACCCTGGAATACAAATACATAAAAATGTAACTATACAGTGTTGTTAGTGAATGTCTTTCAGTTCCCCTAAGTAAAAAAATAAAATAAAATAAATAGAAATCACTCAACTGCTCTGTCTGAAACAAGAGCAAAAGAACCGCCTTTTCAGAGAATGTTGGATAAAAGGAACACATTTAGGTGCAAACAAAGTGAACTCACTGAACCTTCAGAGGAATGCCAGATGACTGTCTGGGGTTGGCAGTATAACAGAAAACAGCAGGGAGTGAGTGAGTATGTGTGCACATTTGAAGTACTTAAGTATAAAGATGGAAAGCTATTTGTCCAGTTATTACATATTAATTAGCACATTGGCACAAAGGCTGTTTGATAGGACTCCCTCAGAACCTTTATAGTAGAACCAATAATGACACTGAAACCCAACGCCAGACAGAGTTCCTTAGCAACAAAACACACAGAGAGCAACAGTCTAAAACCAGCACACACTTTCTGTGTGACTAATGTCCAGTAAACATGTCTACTAAAGTCACAGAGAAATGCTTCCATGGGTGTTTGGGGAATTTCTTCCATCAAATGGACATTCACTATAGGGATACAGTGGAGGGAGAGAGGCACAATTTAATTTGGACACAGATCATCATAATGTACATTTCTACAATTAGGTTTTGTAAAGTACTCATTCTAGACAGAAATGCCCCCTGCGAGTGATGTATTATCTTACACAGTATATTAGATATTTAATACTAATATGTCAGTGTGCAGGCAAAGTTTTACTGTTGTAGCTGCTTGAAGTGGAGGTAGTTTATCCACTTTAGATACAGTGGTGTACTGAACTTTAGTCCGCAGTGTCACAAGAATATGGGGGTTTGTGAAATGACTAATCAAAGAAGAAAGAAAAAAAAACATTCAGATACACAAATGTTTTTTTACTTCACAAATTTTTTCTTTTTGTAAACTATTCAATAATTTGATGTCTTTGGGCCTCAAATAATTACTTAAATTAAACCATGTGAGATGTTTTGAGCAAAAATGTCTCTTTGGTAGAACTGCTAAAATCTCAAAGATTTCTGAAATGTGACAAGGGGCCTCAAACAGTTTTTAATAAAATGCTAGAAGGTTGTGAAACACTGGTTCAGTCTTTAACAATGTGCTGCATTTTATCAGCACATTTTTTAAATTTTAAATCTTAATCAAAAACCTAGCCAGTAACAGTAACTGTCAGATAAATGCAATGAAATAGAAAGTACAATATTTCCCTCTAGAATCTAATTGAGTAGAAGTATAAAGTAACGGAAAATGTATCAAGTTGATTACAAATACAAGTACTCCAAAACTGTATTGGTACAGTGCTTGACTACTACTTGATTTCAGAGGTTAATACAATACATAGCACAGCCTACAGTCTACTACAGCCTAGCATAGGGTATACAATGCAGGCCATATGTGTATGTAAAATTCAGTGGTCTCCACAAGGAAGGCTGGGTCCTCACAATGTGAGCGTGTTAGCAGGTTGTGGTCCCCTAAATGTAAGTAGTACAAAGGCACCGACACACTGAGTGCAGTGGACGATCTAAGTGGACATGGAGCTCATTTCCTATTCACTGTGCTAGAAAGGATAATGCAGTTATAGAAGGTGAAAAGAGAAGGTGCTAATTACTAAGCCAAAACAGAAGAGATGAGAAAACAGGCAGTAAATCAGTGTGGGAGGCTGGCAAGGTAAAACACTGCACTACTGGCTACCACTTGTCCAGAGGTAACTCATCTTCCCTCCACCTCCTTCTCACTGTCCAAAATACACTGCTGCTGACCTACTTCCCATTCCACAGAGCTCAGACTTCTCTGCCAAGGCTCCATCTGGTAGCCAGAACATAAAGTGACGTTACATGTGCAAAAAGCAGTGTGTAGGTTGAACAGCAACACATGGTACTGCTCAGAGTGACCCACTGAACTCTGACATTTTATGGATACACCAACATTAGTGCATTAATGCAGGTGCTCTACATCTCCACTCAGTAAGACAGTGGATGATCTGAGCTTTACAGGCTGTGGTTTGTGAGTTTATACATTGATTTTCTAAGCTACTTTTACTTAGTGTCCCATTAACTATTAGATAGCTAATGAACTTGCTAATTAACAGCTAGTTATTAGCAAGCATGTGAGCTAGCTAGCTGGGGCAGGGGTTTTGTCATCTTCACTAATTCTTCATTGAATGAACATTCCAGAGGGCGTAAAGAGCACAGTACAGAGAAAATAGAAGTGTGGGGAGTTTTTGCTAGTGAGTAGTGCTAGCATGTTCCAGGCTTGTTAATGTGTTTAACCGTTAGCTCAGCAGCTAAAGCAGTTTGCCAAGGTGCCCTGTGAGCTGCCACTATGTCACCATGCTTCGAGCAGCACCTGTTTTGCATGGTCTTGCAAAGATGCACCGATATATTTCACTGTTCTACTTTCTGGTGTGACCCATTTTAAAACTTTCAATGTGATACTCAATGTGCAGAGAGAAACTCATCTCCAAACAAGATGTGACTGAAAGTAAAAAAAAAAAAAAGAAGAAGTGGTAATTACGGTCAGAGAATGGGCAGGGCAGGGACATCATGAGGGTCCATTTCACCATCTGCACGATGACTGGAGAAACCAGGAATCAAACCATCAACCCAGCAGTTAGGAGTGACCCGCTCTACCAGTCACAGCCACCCCAGAGGAGTTCTTCCTCTTACTGTGAGGAAGTCACTGTCGTGTTTTTTAGTGTACGTGTGTGTAAAACTGTATGCAACACAGGACATCTACATTATTTCAAGAATGAAAGTAGTGTGTATAATGTTATTTTAACTACATCAACCAGAATGAATACAAACTAGCTTTCTGTAAAATAGATTTTTTTAAAGTTTAACATCAACATTAAGTTTTAATATTTAACAACTGGCTCGCCAGATTAGTATAATGTAATGTAACAAAGCAATAACTGAATATTTTAAGATGTCTTGCTCTAAAACAAATTTGTCTACTGTTGTATTTTGTTGTTATTAGAGTGGAAAAATGGATGGATGGATGGATAATGATATGATCATGATAAACAATTTAGTAAAGCTGCAGCTTCTGTGATGACTGTGTATGATTTACTACAATTGTTCCGAGTCAATTATCTTCCAGGAACTCCGCCCATCACTGCTCCCTGCTGTCAGCCAAAGTGTACCAGCATGGTTTTGCATATTTTTTCTTTATTTTTAATGAACTATCTGAATCAAAGGTTAATCCAAATTATTCTGAATTGTGACAGCTGGAAAGGATGACCTCCAACCCATAGTAACCCCTGTTGACACCGTCAAAACCAAAATGTGGGCCAAGAAAACAGAAGACGTAGAAGCTTGGGAGACAGACGCACACAGAGTGGAAGGAGAGTCGGGCCATTTGTGGAACAGCAACACATTAAACAAATGGGAAACTCTGAGTGAGAGTTTGAGTGCATTTCCCTGAATGGTGACTCATCGCATTTAGAAGGCTGAAAATTAAAGCAGCCATCAGCACTGACAACCAGTCAGTCAGTGTGACTGGGTCACATTGGTGCACAGCTCTGTTTTACCTTATCAAGAGCTTCCTGCTCCACCAGGTCCTGCACTGCCAGTAGCTTGATGCTGGAAGTAGAGAGAGGGAGTATATAAGTTTCACATTAACACATTCACCTTGTAAAATTTTGAAATTTGATGCAGTATCTGTGTTGTGGGTTAACTGTGTGCTAAAACTAAATTTACAAATTTTCATGTAGCATCTTTAAAATGAATGAAGTATTATTGGTGGAATTCAACCACTGAACACACTTGTGACATTCTTTCTACAGCTGAAATCAAATACGTCTTGGACAGATCGCATCATTAAAATTCATAAAAATCAGTAGCACCCATGCAGTTTGATTCATAGACCAATACTGAGGCACAGTGGCTGCACTGCACCAGTGATGGACACTAGAAACACTGAGGATCTTACTTTAAAAGGGGTAGTTTGACCATATTAGAAAAAGACCTTTCCTTATGTTCCTCCACTTTCTGCATAGCCATGCAGATTATGGCTATGCTGATATTATCTGGTTTGGAGATATCTGTCAGAAAGGTTTCTCCCTCTCCTCTCAGTGTGGGTGAATGTGTTTTTGTTTGTGGTGCTCACAGTAAAGGGAATTTCCATTTACAAATACAGCAGGACTCGTCTTTCCAGAAACAACCTCGTGGTTCTTTGAGTACATTTACAGACCTTACTGTGAACAGTTTTCAGAGGAACTCCTTCCCCACTCAGTAAACAGCGTGTTGTAATTTGAATCAAGTGAGCCTTTAAGGGGTCAGTCAAGGTCACTAACAGCACCTTTAAATCAACAGTTAGACTACTTACAGTACAGAGGCTGGAAACGCTCAGTGCGGTGTTTACAGTAATAATACATGACACCCAAAGCAAGGTTTTATTCTATTATCAAGTACGCAATGGTGATGTGGCACTACCAAAACTGGATCCTCACTGTAATAAACAGCGGGCAAAGTCAGTGCTTTTAATCTGGCAGTGAGCTGAGAAACTCGGACTCTTAGTGAGAGAGTCTGGACTATCGTCTATCTGCCAACATGATACTGCACAGTGAAGGAGGGGCCTTTACAGCACAAGAACCATTTATCTGTTTACTTTTCAAATGATTTTCCAGACTAACAGTCAGCGCAGTAAAATGCAAGATATTCCAGAGAGGCACCAGTGCTTTTCCTCCTGGCTTCATTTAGCTCTGATGAGGAACTGCTTTACTATACAATTTGTGACAGAACTGAGGAAAACTGTCTTCAATGTTTCTTGTGAACTAACATCTTTTACAAGTGGCCTCTGCACATGGAGAAAGGTTTATCTACCAATAACAAGTTCCTGAAATCAAAGCTCAACCTGAGAGGCTCCTTATTTTATAGAAAACAACATGAGGCATTATTCTACTACACACTTAGACACACACACACACACACCCTCAGTTCAATCCGCAGTACATGTGATAAACTGCTTCAATGTGGTGCAACACAGTGACATGAAGTTGGTGGAAATGCTTCAACATTACTCATCTGAAATCAGTCATGCAAATATTCACATTGCAAAACAGTCTTTTCCATTAGTGAAGTGCTGCTGCTGGTTATTATAGGAGCTGTGGTGTTACTCCAGACTGACTCACATGCACTGAGCTGAGCGCAGTAGCTCCACTGATGCCCAGCATCACATGCAATCTGAAGATGAGTTACTACACAAATCTTCTACATGGTTGCACACGTCACACTGTAAATGGTGTGAAGCGCTCAAGGGCATATCCAAGCACAAGGAGATCACTCTCTACGCTTGCGGACTGACCACCACGTTGATTGTGATATGCAGCATTTAAGTTATACAAGAACATGAGTCATAAGATGTTTCAGATGTTACAGAAAGTCAAGACAGTTTCTTAAATGCAACAATGGCGTTGGGGCATTTCATGTGTGTCGGTTGAGGACCAGAACACAGACTTGACGTGCATACAGATAGCACAAGTAGTCAAGGTAACAGTGTTTTAGTCCAAGTCCCTAAACCTTGTGTCTGAGTTGAGTCTCAAGTCCCCAGTGTTCGGGTCCAAGTCATCAAAGTCACTGCAAGGTACCTAGATGTGTCCATCAATGGAGCAAATACTAAAGAGGAATCATTTTTCCTTTGGCTTGTGGTTGTGGTGCAAGCCTTTACATATAGCGTTAATAAAAAGTCTGTAATTCTGAGTGTGTTTAAGACTTTCCGTGTTCCACTAGTTACAGTATACTAACCTAAAATATGTTCCAGCTAGATTAAACATACACTGTAAAATATGACGCTTGGAAATAGGACTGTAGATGTGCCAGCATGGACCAGCTCACATTTACATGTGATAAGATGCTACTGTAGAATGTGTGTTTTGATACACCACCAGTGCCTGTACTGAGAGAGTCTGCTTGTTTAGTCTGCATAAGAGTTTGACTGACGGATTTACAAAATCTAAATAAGTGAAATGAAGCAGGTAAACACATAAGAGCACAGCAAGAGTTTAAATGGCCACAAACAAGTTACAGTGAGGAGAGTGTCTTGGAAATATCATATTCCAAATGGTAATAGGCTCTTGTACCAATAACATTTCATGCTCACAACAGTCACATTTTGGACTATTCTAGATATACAAGTCTTAATCCTCAATACATCTTCTCCCCCCTTTCACTGTGACAGGCATTAGAACCAACTAAAGCACCTGCTGATGCATATTTAGCACAACACAGTACAGTAGGTGAAGGATAAAGAGGTGATGTGGATGTAAAGATCCCTCTACATGTGTGGAAAGCTCAGGGGCTATTAGACATTTCTTTCAGCAGAACAGGCGGAGCCCTGGTTATGCAGATGTGCTTGTGCGCTATTAAATGTTGTAGTCATGTGAAAAAGGAACATTTATCAGAACAACTTCTCAAAGCAAAGATGAAACAGTCATAAAATCACAAAGATTTTTGCAGCTACAACTAAGCAACAACTAAGCCTAATTATCTAATGATGCCACTAGTGTAAACAACAACAGCTGACAAAACAAACATGTCATTAAGCTTGATAGCTTCAAGAATCTTAATGAATTAAAAAGGCACCCTGTGAGGTATATGTCCACTAGCATCCTTGTTTCATTTGTATCACGCACACAAACCAGGACTCTCAGTATACACACTGACAGTACACACACTCCCACTGTTCCACCAACAGCTAGTGGTGGTAACGCAACACTGGTCACAAACGTTCCTGAAGCTGTTAATAAGAAAACTCCACAGGGCACCTTTACTTCTCAGTCAGCATTTGTAGCAGATGAAACTCTTTAAAAATGACCTTCACATTACATGCAGATTTGTGTTTGAAATGCAGTGCTGGCCATGAGTCAGTCGTTGCTGCTCAACACTCACGGCTCAACCTGCAACAAAACAAAGTGAAGTAGAGGTGAATTTCAGCCACACATTTGCATATGTACTGTTGGTACTGTGATATTTTGACTGTAAAGTTTGATAACAGCACATTTGATTTTGATTTGATTTGATTTGATTTATTCTTTCAAGCATGTAAAGACAGTTGATATGTCAACACATAATTTTACACATATCCAACAAATGCTAATCCAATATCAATTTGCTTATACCTAGTACATGCTTGAATGGAGTAGGAAGAAGTCAGACTTATCCAGTCCTACCCCATGACATCATCTTACCATCATTGGTTTGCAAGCAGTATCTCTACATAAATAATTCTCTTCCACACCACACAAGTAATATACTAAAAAAATTATAACAGAGTGTTAACATTCTTACATAATTACATTCTTAAATAATTATCTTCTACACCACACAAGTAATATACTAAAGAATTATTACAAAGTGTTAACATTCATACACCACACCCACAATGTTCCATCTGGTTAATCATTAAGTGTCAGGTGTCCATAGCCAGGTGTTTAACAAACACCTGGCTATGGACTCTCTTCCCCCTCATAGACCTTATGACTGTGCTATCGACCTGTACCCGGGAGCCACACTGCCCAACAGCCGCCTCTTCCACATCTCTAAACCCGAACGACAGGCTCTGGAGGAGTACAT